CTCCATGGCAGCACTGTCCAGGAGCTGATCCTTCTCTGGGGTTTCTCCTGGAAAGAGCCCAGCTAAAAGCACAGAGGGCTGACTTTCTGTGCAGCTGACCTTCAGAGAAGGAAGCAGAAGAGCAATTGCCATGGACTGCTCTGACCTTCCAGGGTGAGCTGCTGGCCACGCGAAGTGAGCTCCACCAGCTTCCCTCCCTCACAGCTCAGTGTGACTCCATGAGCCACACAAACCTCCCTGAGCTGATCCCAGGGCATTTCCCTCCCTCACAGACACTCAGAGTGACTCCATGAGCCACACAAACCTCCCTGAGCTGATCACAGGGCATTTCCCTCCCTCACAGACACTCAGAGTGACTCCATGAGCCACACAAACCTCCCTCAGCTGATCACAGGGCATTTCCCTCCCTCACAGTGACTCCATGAGCCACACCAACCTCCCTCAGCTGATCCCAGGACATTTCCCTGCCTCACAGCTCCTGACACTCACAGTGACTCCATGAGCCACACAAACCTCCCTCAGCTGATCCCAGGGCATTTCCAAGCAGAGAACACCTCAGAGTCCCCTTTCCAGCAGGTGATGAGAACAGATGTGATCCACAGCAGGGTTCCCTGGGGAGCACAGTGAATCAGCAGCTCCTGGACAAGGTGAGGCAGCAAGGAGGTGACACAGCATTTTTGTAACTCAACATCTGAACTAATGCTCCAAGTGCTGTCACTACAGAAAGAATAATTTAGGTTGGAAAAGACCTTGAAGTTCATCAAGTCCAACCTCTGACCTGGAGCATCCTCACAACAAACCCATTTAAGAGTAGAGCAATCACCTTCCTCCCTCCTCTTTTGGGAACTTTCTTTCAGCTTGGACTTGGCCCACAGGTAGATGCTCCAAGGCTCACAGTTTCCAGAGAAGCTCCATGGAAAATTATTCCAGTTTAAATTAGCTGTCCTTAAAAAGGCATGTGCCCACAGCAAACTTTGTACAGATTCAGAAGTCCTCTTGCACATTCTGACAGCCTCTGAGCAGCGCATTTACAAATAATGACTAATTGAAGCCCTAGCAGAGCATTCCACGCCAAGGCCCATTCCCAACACCATGCACAGCTTCTTTCAGGCAGACTTCTGAGGGCTGTGATTGACAAGGTCCCTAATGAACTCTAATTGAAGCCTCAGCAGTCTGAAAAACCCAACAACAGATGTGGTGAAAGGGCAAACCACAAACTGTTTTGCTAATGAATGAAAAGTGTCTGGGCTGATGAGGGCCAGTGACCCAAAAATTCTCTTTTTCCACCCACCCTTTTACTTCTGTTCAAGTTTGGGCCATTTCCCTTGCCAGCACAACACTTGGGGGCAGTCATGGACAGCCCTGGATGTAGTCCATGAATTCAGCTGGGCACCAGGATGCTCCTGCATGAACCACAGGCAGCAGAACATGGATGGAGTAAGAGGGATCTCAGGGAGGGAGCTTGGTGTGGTTATCCTTCCCAGCAGGAACAACAGCCCAGGAGTGATTTTAAACTGCCAGAGGACAGGGTTAGATGGGATATTGGGAAGGAATTCCTTCCTGTGAGGGTCTGGCACAGGTGCCCAGAGCAGCTGTGGCTGCCCCTGGGTCCCTGGAGTGTCCAAGGCCAGGCTGGACAGGGCTGGGAGTGAGGTGCTCTCATGGAAGGGGTCCCTGCCCATGGCAGGGGGTGGGACTGGATGAGCTTTAAGGTCCCTCCCAACACAAACCATTCTGGGACTCTGGGAAGGAGATGCCTGCTCCTTACTGTGTCAGATTTGGAAAACTCTTTACACACAATGACATTTCTGAGCCATCTTCTCTCCTTTCAGTGGATCTTAAGCAATCAACCACCATCAGTCCGGAGATTAAATCCAATGAAAACACCATGGCACACTGAGCCCAAACAGACTTCAAGTAATACCCTAAACTTCACCCTAAATACTGACATGAGCCTCTGCTTCCCACCTCCTGCACTGTGGCAGTGGACTGAGCAAGGAAACTGTTGAAGATTGCAATGTAAGTTGTTTTCCATTACCATCTGTATGGTAGATTACCTTTGTCAAGTGGGCAGTTTGCCTTATCTCTCTCTTTGAGTGACCACATTCACACCTGCCTGGGGAGGGGACATTGCTGATAACAGCTACTGAATGTCACTGCATGGCTGATAAGAACTATAACATCCCACTGGGAGATGTGAGCCCAGAGGGAGGAGCCAAGCATTGCTACCCAGATATAGTCCAGAGGTTCTGAGACACCAGCACGGCTTCTCCACAGGATACCCCAGAGGAACAGCAGCTGCCTCTTCTTCCACTGGATCTTCAGAGGAAGAATACATCCTTCTCTACAGGACCCCTTGCTCCAGCAGAACCACCCCTGACACTGCAGGAGGGCTGAGCCACAATTCCAATGGGACTGCCACCAACACCCTGACCCACAGGGTGTCAGGTTGGGTTCTGACTCTGTCAGTGCTGTTCTAGTGTACTGCATTGTTTATTTTATCTTTTTTTTCTTTTCCCAATTAAAGAACTGTTATTTCCTGCTCCTATATTTTTGCCTGAGAGCCCCTTAATTTAACATTTACAGCAATTGGGAGGGGTGGGGAGGGTTTACATTCCCCATTTCAGGGGAGGCTCCTGCCTTCCTTAGCAGGCACCTGTTTTTTCAAACCAAGACAGAAACCAGCACAAGGGAGCCAAGAAGCCAGGGTGCCATGTTTTACAGTTCTTCCCCTCAGTTTAATGAACCTGCTCATGCTCATTGATCATTTGGTGTCTGCCCTTTTTCCCCAAGGAGGTTCTTGCCTGCTAATGGCACAGGCAGCAGAATCAATATGACAGATGTAATAGTTGGGATGAAATTTGCCAAAAAAAGGTCAAAAATCTATTTGTTCCAGTCTGGCTCCTGGTGTTTCTGGAGCCATTACAGGTGGCAGAGCACACACTGCTCTTGTCTAACCAGGGCGCACTCCAGGGGCTCAGGCTGAGAGTGGCTGCAGAGCAGCTCTACAGGTGTCTCAGCAATAAAGGAACTGTGCTGGATTTAATAAATTATGTCATCTCAGCCCCAGAGGAGGGGCTGCAATGCCTCATGTGGGGGACAAAGACCCTCCTCCTAACAGCCCCCAAACTGCTCTGGTTCATGTTACACTGTGAAAGGGAGCCCAGGGAGTGTGTTGCTGATGGAAAGCATGTAGAGCACTAATGAGCACCATCCAAAAGTAATTCCAGCATTTAGAGGTACCCAGCAATTTTCTGAGTCATTAAAAAACCTCAGACCAATTACACATCAAGCTTACCATGGCTGACCAAACAACTCCTTGTTTGGAGTGGTCCTGGGAGCTGCTCAGACCCCAACACCAGCTCAGTCCTCCCAATTTCATCACAAAACCAACCATGTCACACCAGCTCAGATCACAGATTTAGTTACTTGTGTCCCACCTCCAGCCACAGCCACAAAAATGATGCTTTAGGTTGCCAAGGGTTTTGGGGGCACAGATGTAGCCAATTATTAAATGGTTTCAAGAGAGAGAAATAATCCTTTGCTGCAGGGAATAATTTCTTTCCTGACCCCCCAGAGCTCTCTTACCTGTACCTTGGCTTACATAAGTAAAAGAAATGTTTAGAGTTTGATAAATTGAAGTCAGCCACAACTTTTTGACCACAGCTTACCAAAACCAGCTTTAGAAGCACTTCCCAACCAAACCTCTACATGGGGAGCAGCTGCTCTTCTGAACAAATTTAGAAGCTTAGAAATAAGCAATGTATTTGAACTGGACAATAGAATACAGTTTTCCCACTAGCAGATTCTGTACAGAATAAATCCAAATTTCAGTAACACCTTCAGTTACTCCAGAGGCAACTGTGCCACACTCTGTTTGAAGGGACACTTGGCAGGTTATTATAGCCCAAACATGCATCACAGCATGGGCCACTGGTAACAAGCCTAGAAACCCTTCTTACATCCATTTTCCTCCCTAGCAGTATGTAAAGGACAACAAAAGTTCCAGGGACAAGCAGAAAAAAAGGTATCAGACACAAGATGGTCAGCCAGGTTTGGTTTTTGACACTAGACTGCAGAACATCTGAGAGAACACAAATTATAAATAGATTTGGGTGTTCTCCAGATGCCCAGCCCTTCTCAGCAGTGTCTTTGCAGCCTGTGGGGCAGCACAGCCACTGCAGCTCCCAGAGCTGCACACAGCAGGTTGTTTATCAGGAGATAATACCCAGGTGCAAGGCCTGCACCCATCTGCACTCACTGTCCCAAATTCCAGCAGCAGCCTCCAAGCTGGCACCTGGGCTGAGCTCATTAGGAGAGCTGCTAATGACTGCTCACACTCACTGAGTGTCCCTGCACACACAGCCCCAAACAACCTGCATTCCTGACATTGCTTGGCCAGTGGTTGTTTGTTCAGCCTTGCCCAAAGACAGGGGGACAGACAAATCACCAGACTGCCACTGCCACATTTTCTGAAAAAATCCCTTTGCCAGGATTTCTTCTCCTGGGAAGCTGAGAAGCTTCAGAGAAAAATGAAAATAACAATGATCTGATTGCTCCTCCTGCGTTTTGCTGCTTTGGAATGTGGTTGGAGATTGTTTTATCCAACTGGTGCTTGTTTGATTGGTTTCATGTGAATTGTTTTGACTTAATGACCAATCCCAGCCAGCTGTGTCAGGACTCTGGAAGCAGTCATGAGTTTTCATGATCATTCTTTGTAACCTTCTGTCTGTATCCTTTCTCTATTCTTTAGTATAGTTTTAGTATAGGGGAAGGGAAGGGAAAGGGAAGGGAAAGGGAAGGGAAAGGGAATGGAAAGGGAAGGGAAAGGGAAGGGAAAGAATAAATTTGTCTTCTAAGAACATGGAGTCAGATTCTCAATTCCTCCATCGTCCTGGGGACCCTGAAAATACCACACCAGACGTTCCAGACTCCCCAGAAGAAGTTTTTACATCCAGCCTTTGTCAGCAGGGACTCCCTGGGAAGCAGCCAGTACTCACCAAGTCAATGAGGTCACTGAGATTCTTCTCTATCTGCTGTGGAGGCAGGCGCCTCATCAAATCCAAGGCACAATCCAGCTGCTGGTCACTCTGCAGGAACAAGAAAAGAAGAGCCCTTGGTCAAAGGTGGGCAGGAAATAGAACACACAGCTCCAGCAGCAGCATGCTTTGCATTGATACAAGTAAAATTCATCAATTATCATTGATTGTGGATTATTGACTTGACAATTTAACACCGTGCAGGTGATAGAAAGGAGTGCAGTCCTTACCTCACCAAACTCCTTCCAATGTTTCTAAAAGTGTTTAATGTGTTGTTTTTCCACACTATCTCAACAATAACCTGGGTTAGGGAACTGAAAGTTCCTTCTCCCCAAGCAGGTTTAGCACTTCCTCCTTTGTACTGATCAGCTTGAGATAACCAGCATCCAAGCCAAACTCTGTTCCATCACAGAGCTCCCTCTCCCCTGAAGCTTTATCAGAAAACCAGAGTGAAATATGTACATAAAGCATTATCCATTATTTCCTTCTTCCTACAAAGCACACACCAAGAGCTGCCTGTATCTAAGAAATCAGGGATCAGTTATTTATTTAGAGCTAACACAGCAGCCTTCTGCAAAGGGCTCACTGTAGCTGCTCTCACACCAATTCTGACACAAAGAAACAACCTTAAACTCCACTTCAGTGTCAGAAAATGTGCCCCAGACGCTCGAGGAGCTGAACCACGGTCCTGACATAACCTTTAGTTGTCCTTTCCACCAACAGACACAAACAGACACTTTCCTGCTGACCTAACAGCACCCAAAACCTGCCCAAGTTCCTTTGATCCCAGGTCAGGTGAAGCACAACCAGTTTGCTCTCACTGCTCCTCCCCTCCTTTTTCTCTTTGCCATTTCCAGCCACCCAAATCCCACCAGCTGAGGTTTAACTTCACCCTCCCGTGTTCTGCCAAGCTCCCAAAGTCTTATTTAACAACAGCTCCAATACTAACACAGTTCCATTATCACATTATCCAACAGGGCAGCCCCCAGGAGAGGGAGACACAGGAAGCCAAGTTTCCTGCAATTAAGGCAAAGCTGTGGAATGAGGGAAGGGGGGAATTTTGGGGACATCCATTAGGAAGGTGTTCATTAGATGGCCATGGGAAGGGAATTTTTAGCTCCTGAACACCCAGACCCCAAGGACAGAGACTCTGGAGGTGGCCTGTGCCTGCCCAGCTGTGCAGCCATGCCAGGAGGGATCTCCCTTCCCAGGTACTGTCTGTACCGCCTGCTGTCCCCTCAGCCAGCAAGGAAACCTGGCACATTGTCACAGACACTGCCACAGGGTCCTGCTCCTCACTTGTGATCATGGGGACACTCAGGGACGTGCTCTGCCCTCCTCTGCCAGCTAGAATTGTTTAAAAGACAAAAAAGCCTGGAGGAGGATGTTAAAAACCACCACTAAAGCTGCAACCCCAGAGTGAGTATTTTACAGGGAAGCAAACTGAAAATAAAGTACACAGCATGGAGGAGAATGCACACTTGCAGTGTTTATGGATTAACCAAGAGAACCTGCAGTGACCATTTTTACCCAAAATATCCAGTAATAGCTGTAAAAGACACGAGCAGGATTGTTTAAGGCAGAGATCCTCCAAGGGGTTCAGACACAGCTGACATCCATGGCTGTGTGCAATGGAAAAACAAAAATATGCAGGCCCATACAGTGCCTGGTACAGTGAATTTCCCTGGTTAGCAGGAGGGAAAAGCAAGGCTGAGCAGCAGGACTCAGCTTCTCACAGAGCATTCAGGTAATTAAACAGCTTGCCAGCAGATCTCCTAAAGCACCAAAATAAAGGCAGGTTCTGCTGCAGTTGTGTCCCTAAATCCATGGTTATTCAGCCACTTTAATCCAGCATAAATCCAGCTGGAATGGTCAAAAAGGCAACACAAGCTGGCGAATCACAGAGCAAAGTGGTACCTTGGGGTGCATCCTAGTTCAGAACTGAGCAGGGAAGTGAACCGGGATCTCCTGCTCCTGGTTCCTTCTCTGTAGGTGAGGATTTAAAGGCAGCAGTGTGGTCAAACCCAGCCTCTGGCTCAGCCTCTGCCCAGCTGCAGGAGATGGAGGCAGTGACACACAGAGACAGGGAGCACACCCCACGTGCCAGCAGCAGCACACAGCTCCTGGTGTCACAGAGGGTGAAAATCCCAAGAGGGAAAAGTAAGGCTGAGCAGCAGGACTCCTCAGCTGCTCACAGAGCATTCAGGTAATTAAACAGCTTGCCAGCAGATCTCCTAAAGCACCAAAATAAAGGCAGGTTCTGTTGCACTTGTGTCCCTAAATCCATTATTTAATCCAGCATAAATCCAGCTGGAATGGTCAGAAAGGCAACACAAGCTGACAAATCACAGAGCAAAGTGGTACCTTGGGGTGCATCCTAGTTCAGAACTGAGCAGGGAATGAACCAGGATCTTTGCTCCTGGTTCCTTCTCTGCAGGTGAGGATTTAAAGGCAGCAGTGTGGTCAAACCCAGCCTCTGGCTCAGCCTCTGCCCAGCTGGAGGAGATGGAGGCAGTGACACACAGGGACAGGGAGCACATCCAGGTGCCAGCAGCACACAGTGACACTCTGTGTCACAGGGGGTGAAATCCCAGCCTGTGCTGCCACTGCAGCTCTGACAGTGGCACTGGATCAGAGGAGCTGAAACCCCCCAGAGTCCCCCACAACCAGCAGAGGAAGGGGCTCTGGGGGAGCTCAGGACATGTCAAACCCCACTGTCATTGACACAAAAAATCCTTTCACTAGGATGTTTCTCCTGAGAGCCCTCAGAAAATAAATGTAAACAATAACAATCTGATGGCTGTGGAATGTGGTCTGCAGATGGCTCACCAACAGGTGCATCTTTGGTCTCATGTGGATTGTTTTTACTTGATGACCAATCATGGTCCAGCTGTGTCAAGACACTGGCCAGTCACAAGATTTCATTATTCATTCTTTTTTAACCTTCTGGTGAAATCCTTTATCTTTCTTTAGTACAGTTTTAGTATATAATTATTATATTATACTATATTATATTATATGATACTATATTATACTATACAATACTATATTATACTATATGATACTATATTATACTATATGATATTATATTATACTATACTATATTATACTATATTATATTACACTATATTACATTATATTACACTATATTACATTATGTTACATTATATTATACTATATTCCTTTCTCTTTCTTTAGTAGTTTTCATATATAATTACAATATATAATATAGTATAGTATTAATATAATATAATATAATATAAGTATTACTATAGCATAGTATAGCATAGTATAATATAATATAATACAATACAATATAACATTATATTACATTACATTATATTCCATTCTCTTTTTAGTATAGTTTTAGTATATAATTATAATATAATATATAAGATATAGTATATAAAATAATATATACTATAGTATAGTATAATATCAACCTTCTGAAACATGGAGTCAAGATTCTCACAAACATCCCACCTACTTCTCTCAAACTTCACCTGTCCTGGATTTCCCTTTGCTTAATTCTTCTGTAAAACCACATGCTGATGAAGACCAGGTTTCTTACCAGGCCTCCAGACAGAACATTTCCATGGAATTTCTGCCTTTACCCAGGAGAGGCTGCAGCTCTCTGGCAGGGGATCAGACAGGCTGTCCCCCAGGCTGGGCTGCTCCCACAGCCCAGCTCTTTGAGCCTGCAGCACTTAATGAGCTCAGTGTTTACCTGACAGGACGTCCCTTTCCACCATTCCTGTTCCATCCAGCCCAGAACCTCCTGTGGAGGAGCAGGGAGTTCAGACAGAAATTCCAAATGAGGTTTTATTACAGCTGAAGGATTTAGAGATCATAGGAATCTCAAAAGACTAAAAATATTAGCTTAGATGAAAGCTCTTTAATAAGTTTCCTTTAAAGATGTTTGCCTATCTAGAATCTCCACTTAAGCACCTGTTACAGCATTCCCATGGCACTGCCCCAGGGAAAAAGGTTATGAGGATGTCTGTACTGGATATTTTACAGCTTCCTTTGTCTGCACCTCCTCTTCTGTTTGGTCTCTTTGCTGTATTTAGCTTATTTACAAAAGGGAAACCCTCTCACAACAGCCACAGGTCATCTGGGCACTGTGTGTTAAAGCTCAAATGTGCTGAAAAATTAATAAAAAAAATTGTATAAATGTGCAGTTGTAAAGGGACACAGCTGTGCACCTTAAAGGCTGAGTATGGGCAGATGTCATTCAGTGCAGAAAACACAAATAAAAAATCCCAGGTAGTTACTACAGGTATGGAAATCACAAAAAATGAAACAGGCAACAAGCTGGACTTCCTTTTGACTCCACTTGCCACGTCCAAAGCCCAGAGCTCCTTGGGCACAGGGTGTGCAGGAATCCCCAGCAAACAGGAGCTGAGCCAACCCAGCCAAAGCTGGGAGCAGAGAGCTGCTCCTGGCACCAACCCTGACCTGCAGCCCTGGCACAGCCCTGGCACAGCCCTGGCACCAAACCCGACCCGCAGCCCTGGCACTGACCAAGGAGCTCCTCTGATCCAGGAAGCACACCCAGAGCCCCTCCAGCTCCAGCAGAAGCAGGAACACTTCACTGAAGTGTTCCTGTTTGCTCTTTACGACACCAGCACTTGGCTGAGTTACTACAGGTATTCTGCATTTCTAAAATATTTTTACAAGTGCTTTTGACAGCACACACTTACAGAAACCCACAGGCTCCATTCCCAAGTGTGGCAATGGACAGTTCTCCACTGCCAGCTACCTGAGACTTCACCTACATTCCATCTTCCAGGAGGGCTTACACAAACCTGCAGCTCTCCCAAGGCCATTCCACTTGAAAGGAGGCAAAACATTCATTTAAAGCTCCTGGCCTGGCAGTCTGCAGGAATTTGCTCCCGTTATCACAAAGCCCTGAGGACTGAATCTCCCTCCACACCTCTGCTGGGACACTCCTGCTCATCTGAGCCTGCTGAGCACAAACAGAGCTGGGCAGTGCTGTCAAACAGAAACCCCGACTGGTTTCACTTCTGGGCTCTATTTCTGTACCAGCC